TGTTGCGCTCTTCCAACTTGGCAAGTTTATTATAGTACTTTGTAATTACCATCTCGTTCAATAGAGGAGGTCCATTTCCCACAAGTACGATATCCTCATCCCGATCGATAGATACATAATCTCCCAAAGGCATGGAGTTTTCATCAGATTTGTCAATTGCTTGTTTTCGACATCTTAAATATTGTTCAAACCGCAGAAGTTTGGACATAAAGGGATTAGTGCATGTATACAAGCATTGTCCAGTATAATGCATTCCATTACAAAGCTTACAATTTATGTCTTCTAAAAACATATCTTCATCATCCATGTTGAGATTACTTGTTGCAAAAAATTTTACTCTCTTGCTATTAATAGAATCCTACATATACTGTTGAATAGTATCTAAAAGAATACCAAGCACAAAAGGGATTAGGATAGGTAGCCAAAATTAACAAAAAAAAAAAAATCAAATCGTATATAAACTAATAAACTCAAAGGCGCCAAAAACTTGTTTGTGCAAACCCCGTAAGCGTACGAGATCGTTGACAAGTAATAGAATTTGATGAGTTGAGTGTATCGTCCAACAGGGAATAAATTCAATTTAAGTTTACTAACTTTTTATGGGATTCGAATTATGTAAAAAAAAAAAAAAAAGAGTTTAATTTTGTTTTATGTTAAATTAATCTAAGAAAGCGGTAAAAATGTGATTTTTATCAATTTATAGATGATTGTATTGGATCTCGAATCCGCCTATTACTATCTATTTCAATTCTTGATTTGTAATCTAGTTCCATTCATACGTTCTTGACAATTGATAATTTTATTGTAATTAATTCTCTTTTTTAAGACAAATTAAATATATTCTAGTCACAACCCAAATCTATTCTTAGGCTGAATTCTAATGACTAAAATACATTAAAATTTAGATTATCTATATGATTGCACACGTGATAAATGTCATTCCTAACACCTATTGCACATATGTTAATTTTATGAGTCTTCCAATATTACAACAAGCAACTAATTATCTAATTGGTGGTCAATCAATTAAATAATGCAATAGGTATGCAAAATTAATCAAGAAATATAAGAAATAAATTAAACTGTCAGTCTTGAATTAAAACAAATAAACAAATATGGTTCATTTTCATCCAATAAAAAATTGGATCTAGCCTAACATGTTAATATAAAAATTAAAAAAAGAATAATAGAATAATATCACTCGGATCATGAAATAAATCAAAAGATATTGATCTTCAAACCGAAGGTTGAATTCTTCAAAATTTTGATGTAATTGACCTTCATTTTCTTGTTGTGGCTTAATCTCTTCTCTTAAAATATAGTAATTAACATCTAGTTCTTGATGAATTTGATAATAATATTTTGTATGAAGAGATCAGAGAGGCTTTTTTTTTATGTGTATCCCTCGTTCTCAATTTATAAGAGTCGGAAAATAGGTCAAAATCTCGTCCAATTTAAGTTCTAAAGAAGTTTAAATCGCGAAAGGAAACTAAAGATTCGTATGCGAAAAAAGCCCGTGCCCGCACACCAGTATAACTACTGCATGCACGCTGTAGAACCAAATGACTCTCAGGATGGGGAAAATAAGGAGTTATGCACGCGCATGAATTGCCCCCGAGAGCACAGGTTCATCTCGAGCAGCTTTTAGTATTGTGACCATAACTTTCTCTACAGATATGCGATTAAACTAATTCAAAATGAGTTGGAAAGGTAAATCATAAGGGATACAATTTTTATAAATACAATATTTTCAATTCGAAAGTTTAATATCCGAAAAGTGGGTCTCAATTTGAGGCTAAAAATTCGGAGCATAACTTCGTCGGCTGGAAATTGATTTGTGAAAATACTTCCACTATATTTCACTCTTTTGACTTTCAATTGCATCCAATTGGTCCTATATGATCTTCAATCATCGTTTTGATGCTCCGAATTAACTATTAGATTTTTATACTTTGGTCCTCAAACTTTGGATTTCCTTCGTTTTCGCACGTTTTTCATTCTTTTTTCCAAATCTACCAATTTGCATTGAGTTCAACCTAACAAACATAATTAACACAAAATTAAGCTATAATTCATAAAAATCACTAACAAATACTCTAATTTAATGACCTAAATAAATGTTCAAAATACACTTATCAAAAGATAAATTAACACAAAATTAAGCTATAATTCATTCAAATCACTAACAAATACTCTAATTTAATGTCATAAATGAGTGTACAAAATACACTTATCATCTATAATAAAATTTATTATCTTTACAGTTTTTCTTTGATAAATGGCCCAAATAACTTTTCCCATTCATTTCCTATCTGAATTATTGTGCTTTAACAACGTAGGCCCTTTGGTTTCTTTCCCTCTTGTGTAGCTTGAATTGAATATTTTATCATTAAGGTAAACCATATGGTTCACATGATTTGATCCAAAAATTGAATTTTTTTTTTTTTCGCAAAACTAGCTGTCCAGATGATTAAGCAATTCAATTACCAAATTAACAAGTATATAAGATCATCTTTCAGAAATTTGCAGTCTATTTTAATTAGACTAAAGGGAAGAGCCTCTTGTGCTAAATTTATTGATCAAATAAACTCCTATATATTGTATGTTCTTTCTCATTACACTAGGTAAGTTTTATTGTTTTTTTCTCATTATATGAATTCGCTCGGATCAAGTGAAATCAAAGATCTTTCAAGTGTGCAACTCAATTAGGCATACCGGATATCATCCACAAGCATGGTAAACCAATGACACTGGAGGAATTAGTTGACGCCCTCCCCATCAACAAAGAAAAATCTCTAGGTGTATCCCGCCTAATGCAAATTTTAATGAATTCGGCGTTCTTCATCAAAGCCACAGTCTCCAACAATGATCCCGAAAATATGGGATATTGGTTTACATCAGATTCTCGTCTCCTCTTAAAAGATGAGCCATTGAGCGTGACACCATTTTTACTAGCCTTGCTAGATCCGGTTCTGACAGAGCCATGGCATCATTTAAGTGAATGGTTTGAAAATGAGAATCCCACGCCATTTGATACTAAACATGGGAAGACATTTTGGGAGTATGCTGGACAGGAGCCAAGGTTGAATAACTTCTTCGATGAAGCAATGGCTAGTGATGCAAAGTTGGTGGCTAGTGTGCTTATTAGTGATTGTATACATTTATTCGAAGGTCTGAATTCAATTGTAGATGTGGGAGGTGGAACAGGAACTGCTGCGTCAGAGGTTATTGCTGATGCATTCCCAAACTTGAAATGCACTGTGCAGTGAACAGGAACTGCTGCGTCAGAGGTTATTGCTGATGCGGTCCCAAACTTGAAATGCACTGTGCTTGATCTTCCAGATGTTGTTGCCGGCTTGGAAGGGACTAAGAACTTGAGCTATGCTGGGGGAGACATGTTTGAGTTCCTTCCTCCTGCAGATGCAATCTTACTCAAGGTATCACTAAGCTCTTCCTCTTCTTTTCTTGCCATTTTATTTGATTTCGATATGAGAATCATAATTCAAAGTTTATTTTATGTCATACGAATCAATCAGCTTCCATGTTATATCAAATCTAGATCCTTTTATTCAAACTGGCGAGAAAATTGAGCATGGCAACAGCCTTTCAATTTAAACTCTAGTAGGGTTGGTACTAAGCAAAAATCGTCAAATTGAAATATTCGAATCGTAACTTATTTCTTAAGTTTCGAAATTTTAATGGCAATTTGAAACCAAACTTGGCCACTTAAAATTAACCTATTAGGTTTAGGTTTGACAACCGTTTTAAATGTTTTAACTTATGTTTGGATTTTTCTCAAGCTATTTAAATGGGTTTAATTTGAAAATTTGTCAAAAACCTATCAAACACAAGGATCGCGTTGATTTTTCATTTTTACTTTGAGACAAGAACAGACCGAGTTACCAACTTTAGAAGATAGAAGTTGGGCGACTGATTTTGACACAAAATATTAGGATCCCAAAACTAAATCGTACCTTTAGCACCAAATTATATGGTAATAAAGTGATATTAAATAACAGGTCAAATGAAATGTAAGAATTTGAAACATATTTTGTTGGGTTTATCATTTCATGTCATAGGTTTTCGATTCGTGACACTGAAGGTGTTACATAACACCACTCATTCTAAAATCATTTTAAAATGAGTATTTAGGTTACAAGCCATCAAATGAAACGAAGAAACAATCTACCCAAAATGATAATTACAACACATTAAAAGAAATAAAAGTGGAACGATATTATTTTAGTCGTATGGTTATGTAGCTTATGTTAGTCTTACGGTTATGTTATATTCAAGCATGGTTATAAGTTCTATTTGGACTACATGTTCACGGAGTAATTGAAGGCCAAAATCATCATTCATTATTGTTGAAATTTGAAGGCTTTTCTTTTCTACTAATCTTCTCAATAATTAACTCAATGAGATGATCTATTCAAAGATTGATTAGGTAAAGACAACAATGAGGCAAGACGTGATGCACACAATTACATTGAGAAGTAGATTATTCAAAGTAGTGTTTTAAACAATTAGCTAAAACGGGTTATAAAAAGTACGGTTTGTACATGTAAAGTAATATCTGAATTTTAATTTGATCGCTAAGTTTTTATTTTGTCTCAATTAGGGCATTGAACTTTATTTATCCCTTGCTTGGTGCATATTAAAATAAGATTTTTAAGTAGATTTCGATAGAAATAAATGAAATGAGTGGTTGAAAAATTATGAATTCCATGAAATTTATGGTTAAAATTAATTGTTGACATTGACTTCAAATATTTAGCAACTTTTAATCAATGCCAAATGGGAGTTTCGTTTCAGCTTCTCAATGCACTTCAATTTAGTTGCAAATTTCACGTTTCGTTATACGTAGTCTCTCAAATTTATGGAATTGCTTGATTATCATTGACATTGCAACAGATCTTTCGTGTAATTGATGCATGGCATGCATTATGAGAGAGAGAGAGAGAGAGAGGAATTTTTTGAGCTTCTAATCTAAGACAATTTTTTCATAATTTTCATTTTCCTATTTTCCTTTTTAGAGGGCCACAGTGATTATGAGTGAGATTTGTTACTATATGGATGCTAAGTAGGCAATTTCTGTCAATTTTGGGACCATAGATGGTGGAATATGATACAATACTAAAATTTGAAATTAAATTGAAGTTAAATGCTTGCATATTAAATTTGCCCAAATATTCCACCCCGATGTTACTATTCTATTACTAAACATGAAACTAAAGCTATGGATGTACAATTTCTTAATCACTTTCATAGAAGTCAACCCCATAATCTTGTTCAATTGTCGAAATCGTATCAGTTACAATTCATTCGTGGACTCAGATTTTACTCTAATAACACTTATTGTACATTCGATAACTAGTGGATATTGCATGACTGGAGTGACGAAGACAGTATCAAAATACTGAAGAAATGCAAAGAAGCAATTTCAAAGACAAATAAAGGAGGAAAGGTGATCATTGTCGACATGATAGTAGACAACTCGAAAGGAGACAACGCAATTGAAACGCAACTCTGTTTTGATATGCTGATGATGGCTCTTGTTGCTGGGAGAGAAAGAAATGAGAAAGAGTGGGCAAAGATCTTCAAAGATGCAGGTTTTGTTGCCTACAAGATAATCCATGTATTGGGATTGAGGTCTGTTATTGAGGTTTATCCTTGATTAAATCTTATTTAGTTGATTGGATCGAATAAATATTCTTATTTAGAACAAAAATTGTTGGGAACATAATTTCTTTCTTCAGTTTGGAGCCATTTCTTTTCTTGTACTCAATGGTAGAACCACAAGTCCATGGACAACTTCATTTAATAGTATCCATACAATGTTTGGGAAAGAGAGTTGTTAATTGAAAATAAGGACATAGTCGTTCGTTAAAAATGACTTTTTAATGATTAAATAGACAATTTACATTCATCAAGACTATTTGTTCAACAATAATATAAAAAGTTAAGGACTAAAATGCTCGAGGTCGAACTTTTATAATAAGAGATCACATTATATCGATAAACTGGAATACAATCATCTCTATTCAGAATTGTAAATATTTGTAGCTATTTGGAGTTTAACATGACAAGTTAATATAATTTGATAAAGGAATACAATCATCTCAATTCCGAACTGTAAATATTTGTAGCAATTTGGAGTTTAACATGACAAGTTAATATAATTTGACAAATTTGGTTAATAATTTCTTAAAAATGGACCAACCTAATAATCAAATTGCAAAAACCGCCTGCTAAATTGCTGTATTTTGCAGATTTCTTAGTAGAAACCACGTAGGTAGGGCCACATGCCACGTTAGGCCAGGTTGTCCAAAATACGCTTATTATTCATCGTTTTACATGATTAATTGATGAAAATACTCATTTTCTAGTATTGCAACTTGTATTTAATTTCTTTCTTAGTCAATCATTATTTCGAAACTTTAATTCTCATTCTCATTTTTAATATTTTACACGTAAACTCAAAAAAAAAAAAAATCATACTTTTTAATCGCACATTCTCCAAAATCACTATTCAAAATTTAATTTTCTCAAAATACAAGTCAAACGGGGCATTATTGGAACATTAGTTAGGCGTACCCAATTCTCAGGATCACTAACTGATTTTTTTCACTTATTTTTTGATGACATGCCTAGAATTAATTAAAGTAATTTGCTTTATTAAGTTTGACTAATGAATATGTTATTTCAAACCTCCATAAACTTTATTACTTGCATTACAATTTACATTAAAATATATCGATAAGTTTGATATGCTGAATTAACAAAAGATATGTACGTGCGAAATACTTGCTCAATATTATAGTTCATCAATGGATCTTTAGGGTGTGTTTGAAGCACATTATTTTGAAAAAATGTATTTTGGAATAGTAAATTGATGGAGAATGTACGATTGAAAAAGAAGAAAAAATTATTGATGTAATGAAAAATATTATTTTATTGAATAATGTGTGATTGAAAATGAATAGAAGAATGAAAATAAAAATTTTAATGCGACTCAAACAGAGACTTAGTCTAGTGCATAAAAGATGTTTTCACACATTAATGAGAGGAATACAATCATCTCAATTCCGAATTGTAAATATTTGTAGCAATTTGGAGTTTAACATGACAAGTTAATATAATTTGATAAATTTGGTTAATAATTTCTTAAAAATGGACCAACCTAATAATCAAATTGCAAGAACCGCCTGCTAAATTGCTGTATTTTGCAGATTTCTTAGTAGAAACCACGTAGGTAGGGCCACATGCCACGTTAGGCCAGGTTGTCCAAAATATGCTTATTATTCATCCTTTTACGTGATTAATTGATGAAAATACTCATTTTCTAGTATTGCAACTTGTATTTAATTTCTTTCTTAGTCAATCATTATTTCGAAACTTTAATTCTCATTCTCATTTTTAATATTTTACACGTAAACTAAAAAAAAAAATTCATACTTTTTAGTCGCACATTCTCCAAAATCACTATTCAGAATTTAATTTTCTCAAAATACAAGTCAAGCGGGGCATTATTGGAACATTATTTAGCCTACCCAATTCTCAGGATCACTAACTGATTTTTTTCACTTATTTTTTGATGACATGCCTAGAATTAATTAAAGTAATTTGCTTTATTAAGTTTGACTAATGAATATGTTATTTCAAAACTCCATAAACTTTATTATTTGCATTACAATTTTTATTAAAATATATCGATAAGTTTGATATGCTGAATTAACAAAAGATACGTACGTGCGAAATACTTGCTCAATATTATAGTTCATCAATGGATCTTTAGGGTGTGTTTGAACCACATTATTTTGAAAAAATGTATTTTGGAATAGTAGATTGATGGAGAATGTACGATTGAAAAAGAAGAAAAAATTATTGATGTGATGAAAAATATTATTTTATTGAATAATGTGTGATTGAAAATAAATAGAAGAATGAAAATAAAAATTTTAATGCGACTCAAACAGAGACTTAGTCTAGTGCATCAAAGATGTTTTCACACATTAATGAGATTCAATGGACGGTTTACCTAATAATTAGTTGAGATTATGCTTTCAAGCCAGGGTTTGTCTTGTTTACAAATTTATGCTTAGCCAGCTAAGTCCAACAAAGTCTACCCTGATCAATATATTATCCCATAAAACCCCACAATTAGCCTCCACCGACACTACCAAATGGCTCAAATGAGTTTCTATCTCATCCTTCTCTCTCTCGCTACGATTCTCTCCCTTCTCATCCCTACCCTCCATGCTCAATCCGCTCCGGCGCCCGCTCCCTCCGGCCCTATCAACATTGCCGGAATCCTCGAAAAAGCCGGTCAATACATCAACTTCATCCGCCTCCTCAATCAAACACAAGCAGGAAACCAGATCAACAACCAAGTGAACAATTCCAATGAAGGAATGACTGTTTTTGCCCCCACAGACAACGCATTCCTTAATCTCCCTGCAGGTACTCTTAACAAGCTTTCAGCCCAACAACAAGTGCAGCTTGTTCAATACCATGTTCTTCCTAAGTACTACACTATAGAAAATTTGCAGACAGTCAGCAACCCTGTTAGAACTCAGGCAACTGGCCAAGATGGTGCAGTTTTTGGGCTAAATTTCACAGGACAGGGCAATCAAGTTAATGTTTCTACCGGCATTGTTGATGTTCCAATTTATAATGCGGTCAGAAAAAACTTCCCTTTGGCTGTTTACCAAGTGGACAAGGTTTTGTTGCCTACGGAATTTTACCAAGCCAAGGCTCCGTCTCCTTCTCCTCCGGCCCTCAATGGCACGAAAAGTAATTCCGGTGACGGTAGCAAAACACCCGATGCCCCGTCTCCGGCAAATGGATCTGGGAAGATGAGTTTTGGATTTGGATTGGTGTCTGGCCTTTGGTTAATGTTGTGCTATTTGGTGTAAAAATGTTGGTGTAAGTTGCTTTGGACCGTTTATGCCTGCATATATTGGGAAATGATAATTGTATACTTCAGAATATACATAAATGTTTATAGCCCCTCACATGGAGGGATGTCCGCGTACAATAATGTTTATAGCCCCTCACATGGAGGGATGTCTGCGTACAATAATTTATTGTACGCGAGTCCTCCACCATGTGAGTGGATGTAAACTTTTATGTACACCATTATGTACGTGTTAAATTAATTCATGCGTGCACGTTTTTTGTTTGGAGTTCTACTTGAGTTATTTTCATATTTTCTCTTTCTTTTTTTTCTTTTTTTTGTGTCAATATATTAATTTCATTAACTTGTTTTTTTACAATGGAGTTCAACCGTTTCATATATCTTCTACAATTTATATTTTCTAGCTCTTTCTATTTTAAAGCGACTTTTATTCCATATCTATATTTTCTCCTCTTACATAAATTCCTCTTGTATTAGTTACTTGACTGATGTACATACAAATTTGCGACCCAACTGGTCGATAACGATGATCGCTTCTAGCAGCCCATCAACGGCGACAATTAGTGTTGCCAAACAATAGGCTAGCGTGACAAGAGTCGTAATTTTTATAGACAGTTGGAAATGAAATAATTTATATATTTTACATTTGATATTGCTCTTGTTCGGCCTCCATTTTAATGAAATTTTTGAAAATAATGTATTTTAGAATAGTAATATTTGGGACAATGTGTGATTAAAAAAGAAAGAATTTTTTTCTTTACGTGTAATATTATTTTATTAGAGAATGTACCGTTGAAAAGATGAGAAAGAAAAATGTACTAAAATTTTAATGAGGACCAAACAGGAGCAATATTTTGCCTATCATAATGATTTTTAATTCTTACTAAACCAAATTATATATCGTATTTATATAATTAACTATACTAATTCAATACAATTAAACAAAAACGTTTACAGTGCATGTGAGCACACGTGAGTGCACGCCTGTCGTAAGGTCATTTCAAATTATGGGAAGTTTGGCCTCAAATAGGAAATATTTGACGATTTTTCTTGGATCTTGCTATATGTACATCAGGGATTACATAATTGGTACATACATGATTGGATTCAGACATTTTGAGTTAGATTACACAATCAAACCATGTACAAAATTGAATGCTTTGTTCTTGATTTTTGAATCATTTATAATTGATCCAAGAAAATGTTGATTTACATTTAAAAAATATTTCTTCATTAATATTTTATTCATGATTTTCATCTATTTGATTTTAAACAGTCATTTTATTAATATTTTTCTCATCACAAGTAAATGTATATTTATGTTTAAAAAATTTATAGTGTATTTAATACAAACAATCAATTCAAGTAATATAAAAGGAAAAACATATAACCAATATTCAATATTAATAATCAATCAAATAAACACAATTAGTTAAATATAAGTCAAATTTGATATAATCAGTTCAAACACGTTCTATATATACAATTTGATAGGAGAAAAATGCAAATTTAGATTTTAATTAGTTTAAAATTTTATTGAAAAGTGAATATTTGTAATTGATATAATAATTTGTAGAGAAATTATAAACAAATTTTAAAAAATTAGAATGATCAAGGTTTCGATAAAAGGTGTAAAAGGGAGAGTAAGAGAGAATATAAAAAATTCAAATTTATTGTGATTTTATTCATGTTTGATGGGAATTAAAATCAGATTTTTAGTAAATTCTGATAAAAAGTTTAAAAAAATATGAATTCCA